CAGGAGCAACGAGAGATCCGCACGTTACATATGTTCAAATGCATTTTCAATTTTACCTCACGATTCTATATATCTATATGCTCCCGTACAAAAAATACTCAGCCAGCACATACAACAGCACTCAACCAAGGTACATATTACCGGCAAATCTATTCGCAACACGCGCGACACTACAGAGCCACGAGAACGAGAGAGATTGCGAGGAACTTTGCGCCCGAGCGCGAAGAATGTCGTCGCATGAGAAAAAGATAAAAAGAGTGAAAGAAATCTGTCGCGTTGCTGAGAATTCTCGTCGAAGACTGTTATCACCGAGTTGTGTGAATTTTCTTTGCGAGTAACTCGGGGGATCGGGTCTAACGAGCGTTCCACGAGGAATGTGGCGGAAAGAGAGATGCCTAATCCGGCGGAATTTTGCTTTTCCAGTTGATTTTCAGTGGCGAGTACACGAAGGCGATGAACAAGGACTGGCACAGCGGCCACTTCTGCTGCTGGCAGTGCGACGAGTCTTTGACCGGACAACGCTACGTGCTCAGGGACGAGCACCCCTATTGCATCAAGTGCTACGAGAGCGTTTTCGCGAACGGCTGCGAGGAATGCAACAAGATCATCGGTATCGACTCCAAGGTACGCATCCTCCTAAACACGTTCTCTGGCTGAGACGATTCGTGGATTTGGATACCGTCCAAAAAACCAATCCGCCTTTCCCTAAATTTAGATTCGCGGAATTTAGAATTCGTAGATTAATCGTACAAGTCTGCCCACGTTGAAAAATTCCGCTATGTATTACTCAGACAGAGAGAAGAGAATTTTCTTCGGAAAAATCGGTAATTATCGGTTCGTGTATAATCGCGAGCTCGAGGTGGCGATACGCTGAACGGACATTGGGCGTTCACTTACTCATTCCTAGAAATAGAAACGACGATGCAGGTGCTGCTACCCATATCGGCTTCGAGAGCTTATTTCCGTTTCTCTCTGGCTCGCCATTATTATTCCTCCTACTTGGCTCGGCGATCAACCAGAGAGGAAACTCCGTCGTTCCTTCGTTTTCGCGACGAATCTTTCTACGCAGCGAACCAAGGACCTCCTCGCAGGAGTGAGGTCACATAATCGATCCTGAAATGGACGCCTCTGTCTAATGGATTCGATCGTTTGAAAGCGTTAGGTTTCCACGGAGGACCCAGAAACACGCTGGCTTTGTGAATTTTTTTTCGGTAGAAATTTGCACCGTTGAAAAGTGCGCACTCTGGTCTGGAACCACGCTGTAGATTTGGTTAAAAAATACGGAAAATCGACCGAGACACGCGGTAGGATGTAGGAATAAAGTTGAATATTGTTCTCCGCGCGACAAAGTCCACGTCCGAGAAACGCGTGTTTTCACTCCCGGAACGAAAGCAATCAACACCTCTCGACAGAGAGAAAACAAGAGTAACCGGACGATAATTGTGAACAAACGGCTTGCAGGATTTGTCGTACAAGGATAAGCACTGGCACGAGGCCTGCTTCCTCTGCAACAGGTGCAGAGTGTCCTTGGTGGACAAACAGTTCGGCAGCAAGGTGGACAAGATCTACTGCGGCAACTGCTACGACGCCCAGTTCGCCAGCCGTTGCGATGGATGCGGCGAGATCTTCCGTGCTGGTACGTAAACACCTTCTTCCTTTCTTTTCCCCCTTTCGTCCGTAAAAATAGCCGAACCGAGGCTGTAGACGAAGGAATAACCAAACCAAACTGCGCGCGCGCGCGCGGTCTAGACGATCGAACCACCTGTTTTCGAACAATGAATCACACGATCCTGAGCGTGGATCGAAGAGAGACTATAGATCGAGCATTCGGTGTTTCTTATTAAGGCAACCGAGTCAAGGCTCTTCTCGCTCGTTTCGAAGGGAAAGGAACTCCGTGTCGTCGTCCAATTCTTAAAACTTGGATCGTAAGTTGGACCTGTTCTACTTTTATCCGCAAACTTTTCCAACTTTCTTCTCCTCGCGCACGGGGAATTCTCCGTCGAGTTTGCGGGAAAGTGGGTCGAAAAAAAGGTTGTCGAGCAATTACCCAGGCGAACTTTTTCGTCGGGGACGGAACTCGCGAGCGGAATTATCGCTTTGTCGCCCGGCGACCTTCGACTGATCGCAGACGGCGCGGTGGAACGTGCCGCGACCTATATACCGCGTGATTCACGAGTCTTTCTCGTAAATCGCGCGGTAATTAAGATGGAGAACCACCGTTAACGCTCGATCCTTCTCGCACATTTTTCGCGGGAAGACGTGGAGGAAGGTGCCGGAGAAAGCTAGGAGGTCAGGAAGGGTTCGTGCCGCTGATGGACTGGTTTCGACTTACGTGACGCGCCTGGGAGTCTCGTTAAATCTTCCGAGAGCGGCAGAAAGCGACAGGATCGGCGAGGAACCGTCCGTGAAAATGACTCGGTGCCAGCGCGTGTCCGTATACGGATCGACCTTTCCGAGTATCTAAACCGTGAATCTAACGCGGCGCATCACGGAAAACCGATGCACCGCGATCGATCGATTCGACCTTTGCGAGCCTCCTTTTTTCCAGCAAACTCCGCAGATAAAAGGTGCAAGATTAAAGCTGATAAGGCGGATACCGCTGTTTATTTTAGGCGGAAGGTTAACAAATAGAGGGATTGTTTGTTATCGGAGAACGTGCCGTTCGGTGCGATTCCTTTGGTGAATCACAGGCACGAACGTTCTCCTTTGCAATTTCCGCGGTAATTCCGATGCAAAAACGGAGATTCCCAGAGCTCCTCGTCTTAATTAACGAGCACGTCGGTGACGCAACGAACCAGAGAGTCTACTGCAAGGATTCCACGTGACGAATCACATGTTGATAGAGCAATTGACACGCCTGTTAACTAGACAGCCAATAGATTCTGACCGAACGGGTTGCACAATCGCGGGAAAGACGAAACGGAGAGAGCCGTGTCTGGAAGCGGCGCGACGCGTAAATATATAAATATTCGCGGATGCGTTCCAGGACGGCGGAGAGCGAGTCTGGTGGAGCGGAAAGGCGAACTTATCAGCGGAGTAGAAGACACGTTGCGCGTGCTCGCGGTGTGCTCGCGGTGTGCACGCCGAGTCCAGCGAGCGGGCTGGCTTCAGTGGCTCGCAAGACTCCGGGCCAATCGCACGATCCACCGATTTCTTCCTCTCTTCGACTCCGCGATATCGCGTTTTTAGGTTCGCCTTTCCTTTCTCATCCCAACGATCTATCGGCACAAGTGCCGCGCGCAACTGAGAAAACACCTTGGACGCCGCTTTCGCGATCACTCGGAAGGGAAATCGTTTCCTCGGGAGGAAGCACCTCGCTCGTGCGGTAGAAAAGTGATCCTGCGCCGTTGTTGTGAATATTCCGGGGAAGGACTGGTGATAAAAATAGAAGAGAAATGGCGACGGACGCGTTGAGTGAACGCTTGTCGAGCAAGCTTCACCTGCAGACGAAGACGGTGGGCGAGGAGAGGATAAGGAGAGCGAAGGAGAAGGACGAGGATATCGCGATATTCAGCATGTTCCCGATGGAGGGCGATCCAAAGTTCAGATGCTGCCTCGGCAAGGACTGTGTCCTGGGAGATCCGAAGAAAGCGGACCCAGGTGAACCTAGTTAAATTCGAGAATTGTCGTTTCCTTCGAGATTCCTGATGGTCGTTGGAGGATAATCAAAGTTTTCCTAAGGTCGACATAGGCACGCCGATCGTGGGTCGACGCGGCGCAACCGGCTCGCGGTACAGCCGGAAAGAGGGAATTGGAAGGGAACCGCGACCTTATGTGGAAACGCGAGCACGATTGTCCGCTCGTCCTAATCCGGTTGCGAAACAGAGATCGTGTTCTTCGATTCGATCCTGGAAACGGAGAATAGCTTTTCGAAAATGACGTGTGTGAAATTTGACAACCGGTCGTTTAACGGTTAATTCTAAGCGGAACAGGATAAATGGTAAATCGCGACTCGACGTGGAAGTATTTCGAAGACAGGATCGCGGGATAATAATTGAAACATTGGAAAGGCTGTAGAACAGCGCAAAGATGGTCGCTCGAAGATGATAATCAACCGGAGACGCGGCGGAGAAGCGGACAAACGGGTTTCTATGTTAATCGCAGGCTTCGGGGATTATGATTAATAGTGGTACGCGTGATCGATCGCGTCGCGATCGTTATTAATAAAGCATCCTGTTTCCTGTTGTACACGCGACACGTGCTACTTAACGCACGTTTCTCTCGAGCACATTTTTCTTCCTCGCTTGTCCGCCTTTAATACGAAACAGAAGCTGCGCGCGAAGGACGAGACGCGGACGTTCGACCTGTTTGCGAATAATTCGCAATGCAAATCGGCCTAATGCGTGCGGCAATATTTGTCGTTGGATTATGAAACAGCGCGGAATTCGCGGCGGCACGCGCTCGCCGAAAACTTTCGCGGAGCCACACGTGACACCGATCTCTCCATCCTTTAACGATTTATTGCAAGTCGAATAATTTCTTCTCTGAATAAACGAAACAATTTCATCCTTTAACCGTTTCAGTGCTGAGCGCTTTTTCTGTCCTGTGTCCAAAAATACCAGCGCACCAGGCTGTGACAGTAACAGTACGCTCGGTTTTTCTGTACACTTTTTTATTCTTATAAACAACCATTACTTTGACAATATAACGAACAAAAATAAGGATAAAAGACACCGAATGAGACAAGCGCTATCGCGCTGCTTGGCATTTTTCGATTGGGAAAGAACAAAGACCTGTGGCACTGAAACGGTTAAACCAACGCGTGTCCCACCTGCGGCCATATTTTTCACGACTCAATTGCATTATAATAAAAAGTATTAAAAAATAACTGTATCGCATGTTTCGTATTGAACGCCCATGCTTTAAACGATCTCGTGTAAACAATTTCTTCTCCGAATAAACGAAAGAATTGCCGAGTAATCGGATCGAATTATCTACCGCAGAAGATAAATCTAATCGCCGCTGATGTAATCCCGACGGACCGAAAAATCTTACGCTCGGATAAAGCCACCTATTATTATCAATGATGTCATTTTTAGAAGGAGAGACGGTTGTGTACGTAGATGCACCAATATCTGTCGAGCAGATCGACAAATTGCTTTCTTTCCGCGAAACGCGATCGTTCCTCGAGTCTCTTTAAACGCCGCGATAAATTGCCACCGGTTTTCAAAGATAAACAACAACTTCCACTTTATCCCCGAACGCGAAGTTTGTCACGGCGGCGACATAATAGAGAGCAAACGCATTTACGTAACGCTTTAAACACCTATCGGTTGCGCCATTGGGCGGCGAACGATTTAAAAACTTGGCCGGATGTGGTCATCGCGCCTTCTTATATTATCCTCTTGCACAATGTAGAACTCGGTGTGCGGCGACGAAGCGGAATCGAAGTTGACGAAAGTCTTGCACCGATTTCCTTGCTCCATTCTCGAAATTCTCGCCGGCTGGTACCGCCGCGGAGAACTCGGTTGGAGATCGGGAAAGTCGAGGGCCGCTGGTGAATTTATATTTAGACTTGACGTGATCGCGGCTTCCGACGGATTACCAGCGCCTCGTGGATTCTAGAACTCGTAAAATTCGAAACGATCGCGTTAACGATCCGCGATTCCTCGCCGACGCGATCTTTCCGACGCCAACTCTGAGGCGTGAGATCGAGTCGATTGATTAATTGTCCGAAGAATGATACGTTACTCTTCCATTTTTCGTTCGTCTATTTTGCATACGGTATCTCTTCGGTTTTATTTCCGTCGAACGCTTCGGCTGCGAGCTGATCGTGATTTTGCACGGTCGAGCACGGGCGTACGGTGGCTCGGCGAGCTAAGGCGACGCGCATAATGCGAGATTACCACATCGCCGGCCTTGGACCATCAGACTTTATACGGAGGTATTGCTCGGACAAAGTGACGTCACGAGCCTCCTCCTGACTCACGTCGGACCGGAGGAATAGCGTACGAAAAGTCCGGCGATTGCTTCTTTCGTCAAGGGCCACTGGAATCTAGGCTATCTTTGTTCGAAAAGTACGCGTTCACTTTGACAGTCTTCTGGGACTTTTCAGCGGAAGGCTGAGGTAGACGATGCTCTTTCGGTGGAGAAATTAGTCGGCTGATACGGTCCAGGTTGAGAGAAGAGATCTGGATAAAGGAGAGACAGACTAATTTGCGGTGACTGATTGATCGGCAACTATCGGTGCGCCGTTCGTTTATCAACGTCCACGGTGACGGATGATAAAGCGTTGATTGACGTTGCTGGCAACAGATGGTCGACGATTCCTCGCGTGTCTCTCTTGCTTTCGCCGCACTCGCCGAAACTCTTTGGGATTCTTCAAAGCTCGGGAGACCTATTGGCGTTTTACATACGGCCGTAACGATGACTCAGAATTCGACTGGAAAATTTTTCTCCAAGTCTCGAAACTGTAGAGAGAGATACTTTGGGATTCTTTAAAGCTCGAGAGACCGATTAAAATTTGAAATACGGTCGTAACGATGACTCAGAATTCCACTGGAAAATTTATCTCTAAACCTTTGAACTGTGGAGAGAAAATCTTTCATTGGATTGGAAAATTGTTCTGTAAATCTTGGAACTGCAGAGAGAACCAATTAAAATTTGAAAGATAGACGTCGATAATTTCTCGCGTCCTTGTCTCTTTTAAAAATTGAACTGGAAAATTTATCTGAAAATGTTGCGACTCGAGAGTCTTATCTCTCGAAAAATGTCCCCAAAATGTTGCAACTCCAGAGAGAAACTCTTTAAATGTTCGAAAGCTCAGAGACCAATCGAAACTTGAAATACGTTAGTATCGATGACTCACAAAGCTCCCCGATAACTCCCAGTTAACGTTATTTCACCGGTCGCTCGGACCTCTTCTAGGTCCTATTAGATCACCTTTCGGAATAGCGAGTGATAGTTAGCTCTTTGCCCTTGAAACACCCACGGGAGAAGATTCCGCGACTTAATCGAGTCGAGTCGAAGAATTGGTTGGCGGGATCGAAAAATCCTCGTGTAACCATAAATGCCGACTCTCTGTTCCTCGTGACTAATCTCCAGGCTTGACCGTTTCCTTATGTAAACGGAAAATGAAAGATCGCGGAGCGTAGGACTGGACGATCCGCCCAATTATCGCGGGCCAATCGCGAGCTTGCTCGGAGTTATACGTTACGACGTTGTTCGATGGAATCGGGTCAGTCGAATACGAGGGACCGGATAATCCGGTGAATAGAGTCTTCTGTCTAAGAAAAATTCGAAATATCGAATAGAATGCAGCTTCGTCTTCGACCTTCGAAGTGGGTGCCGAACTTTGAGAGAATCGTCTGGATCTCTTTAACACCGGCGGGAAGATTGTTAGGTAACGCCTACGGTGAGATTACAAGAGGAACGTTTGTAAGGAACTTTCGGTGGCAGTAAACGGCGACGATCGACACCAGGCGAACGGAATAAGTGCAGCGAGCCGTTCTATGTAGGTTACGTAGTTGACTAGAAAGTCCCGCAGAGGAAACTTGGAAACCGCATTGCGGGAGATGACACCTATCTTCGCCGGCGATCTTCCGGTTTTGCGCGACTTTTTGCACCTGTCGCTCAACTTTCTAGCCCACCTTTCCATCCAGAATAGAGAACCTCGTCTAACAAGACCTAAAATTCGTAACTTGTCGTAAAGCTGCCGGAAAATTCATCCCCTGGGAGTACACGTTCGAGCGAAATAGGAACACGCGAGCGTACTAGGCGCCTCACGCGATCGTCTAGACGCGAGATGCACCCTTACGGAACGATCGTCTAGACCGTGTTCGAATATTCCGCCTCCTTTCGCGTCCCTTATCGATCGAATTTAGGGTAGTCGGAGGGTTTACAGGGTGCAATTTGTCGGTTCAGGTACGAAGAAGATGGAGTACAAGACCAGGCAATGGCACGAGAAGTGCTTTTGCTGCGTGGTCTGCAAGAATCCGATCGGAACGAAGAGTTTCATCCCGCGCGAGCAGGAGATCTACTGTGCCGGATGCTACGAGGACAAGTTCGCCACTCGATGCGTCAAGTGTAACAAGGTATGCTCAAATTGCACTTGTATTTTTTAATCCCTCAGCCTACTCGAGGCCAGCGACTTTTCCAAAGTCGGTCCGCAGGAGCGAAAATTTTCTTCTTCTTTGTATCGAGAAAATTGAGAAAAGGAAAGATTTTTGTGTCTGTACTCTATGATCCTAGGTTCATACGAACGCAAGTTTTAATATCTACAGAGGTTTAACTTTTATCTTCTTTAAAAATCATCTTATTTCCACGATTAGTTCCACGTAATTGCTTCGGTGATAACGTAATCGTTACACACACGGTGTGCGATTAGCCTCGCGCTGACGCGCCTAAGCGTCAGGCACTTAATGTTTTAGTGCTGTGTCAGGTAACGAAAGCTAGTCTCTTAGGGACTGATTACACTCGGTAATCCTCTGTCTTGCGAATTCAAACGAAAGTTAGGCTTACGTATCCTGACCAGAATCTCTGCCACGAGTCTGACGCGTTACAGGTCCATCATCCTTGGAATCTGTGCAGTTTTATGACGCGCTAGACGTAGATTTGCCGCGTGACACGTACGCGACGCTTGGTCAAAGGTAGAAGAAGAAGTTTCTAGAAGACGTTTCCTGTTCCAGATCATCACTAGCGGCGGCGTGACGTACAAGAACGAGCCGTGGCACAGAGACTGCTTCACCTGCAGCAACTGCAACAATTCCCTGGCTGGCCAGCGGTTCACGTCGCGCGACGACAAGCCCTATTGCGCTGACTGCTTTGGCGAACTGTTCGCCAAGAGATGCACTGCCTGCTCGAAACCGATCACCGGTACTTGTGCACTTTCTTTCCCTTCTTTCGCCGCTTCAACGCACTCCCATCGCGAGGGAATACAACAATTTACGCGGCTTTCGAGTGTAAGTCGTGTCCTTGTGGAATTAGCTTCCCTAATAATGCAATTTTGAGAGACCCGGTGGAAATTTTTCTCGTCGGTCCCCTATTTGGGTATGGGTATAAAAGGGAGATTAATTCCATAAGGACACGGCGTACAAAGCCTCAACATTGAGGACGGTAGACTCGCGTATGCGTTCACAAAACACTATGAACGCAACCACGAGCTCGTGCGCTATATTTGAGGGAAACGCAAAAAAAACAAAAAAACTGAAGCAGTGACCTAGTTATGTGTTACACAAGTGATCGGTACTTGGACACTTTGTCCTACGTCCACAAAGGGCTACCGGCGTTAAAGAGCGACAGAACTTGAGAATTTTTCGAAAGAAAAAAAGAAAAACAAATTTTCTGTTCAGGAATCGGCGGCACTCGTTTCATCTCTTTCGAGGACAGGCATTGGCATAACGACTGCTTCATCTGCGCGGGTTGCAAGACGTCGCTGGTGGGCCGTGGCTTCATCACCGACGGCGAGGACGTCATCTGTCCCGATTGCGCCAAGATGAAGCTGATGTAAACAGGGGGTGGGCAGGGATCGAGATCTATCGAAGAGGAACGAGCGAGAAGAAAGGGGAGAGGGGAAAGGAACAGGGTCTACGGTGTCCAATCTCCACGCAGAAAACTAACAATACGAATGTACATCGAATAGAAGAACCGGAAGATTCCTCTTCGAGGAGGAACATCGAGAACAAGAAAGAAAGATCGTTCGTCGATCGGCTACGGAATATCGCGATAAAAATTACCGTGCTTCTCTACCCCCTCAGTTATATTTTCAGGAGATATATATTATATATTATACGTATACGTGCCCATAGACGGGAAACGCGGTAGTTTTTATTGAAACGAGCAGAAAGGACACCCTCCCGATTGGTTAAACGAAGAAAAAGGATAAAATAAAAGCAAGCTCTCTGTTCTTCTCGATCGACGCTCGGTATATCGTGGTACCGAGTTTTCGTAAACGTGTCTTCTCCACGCAGAGAAGAAGCAGACACGGGGATACTTCCTAGCTTCGTAGTTTTTAGAGGCCATTTTAGTCACTTGCGATTCCGATTTCTCCCTCGCGCGCGTTGGCTAACCCTCATCGAACAGCCGAGAAATATCGCGAAGCGGGGAAGTGGAAGGGAAATATGCCTTGAAAAGTCCGAGAATCAAACCGCCTTAATGTAACAATATTACCGTCGTCGAGTTGTTGAAAATGAGGATCGTTTTAATTAAGAAAGATGGAAACGAAGCTACGTACTGTCGTGGTGTTTATTTAACGTTGTTTTTCTTTTTTCGCTTTGTACAATGATAGAGTTTTAAACGCGGTCGAACGGTCGCGGGAAGGAAAATCGACGAAGATGGAGGAAGAAGAACAGATGGATCCTATATATTCTTATGGAACTAAATTTGATATACGTATGATAATGTTATTTTTATTTAACTTAAACTCACACCTGTCACACCTACACGCAGGACACGCGAGTACACTTACACAGAGACATATACACGTTGTACACGTTAACACGAAGCCAACACATGCGCGAACACTGCACCTTCTCTCTCTCTCTCTCTCTCTCTCTCTCTCTCTCTCTGCGATACTGTACAGCGAGACTCGTGCACGATTCGAGTATAACGAACGACTAATTAAAACGAGAGGGTTCGCGTGAAGAGTTGCCTCGAAATATTTCGAATTTTCAATCGGAGGAGGGAAATGCGAAAGATTCGATCCTCGGAAGCCAGAGTTCCAAGATATATCTCTTGGAACTTGGGTGTTCGAAGGAATCGTCACACCTTGTCGGAAGAATTCTCACTTTCCACGCGAGCCCGCAGGTACGCGTATATATTCGCGAGTGCGCAAAACGAAAATAGAGTTCCAAGCGTGATCGATCTCTGCTCTTCTCGTCGAGCAAGGGGATCGATCGCAGTTGTAACAGCATTTTTTGCATTAACCCACGTCGTCCAAGTGACGGAGTTTCGGAATAAAAAGGGAAGAAAGATACACGACGATAAAAACGTAACAAAAAAAAAAAAGGACAAAATAAAAGAAAGAGAAAGAAAAAATGTAATTTCACACACGCATTCACACTAAGCATGCCCCGGACGAGTGTGCGACGCGCACACGCGGAAGAAACACTAATTGTGGCCTTATCCGCACGAGTACATAGGAGTAAAGAAACTGACGTCTTGCGAGGAGTAATTAGCTGTTTAATATGGTACTTGATAGAGATTTGTTACCGTCGAGAAGAGGAAGAATATAGAGCGTGCAAGAGAAGCGGGCGGACAAACGGTAGCGGTACACCTCTGTTGGAGAAAACGAAAAAGATAGAAAAGAAAAGGATATCGTTGACGACCAATAAAAACAGAAGAAGTACACGTGCTATATAATATATGTTCTTACCGATCACTCACATACTAATCGCCTTAATTAGTAAACGATAAAGAGCAGAGATTATTCTATATTCAGCGTATCGTATACACTGTTATACTGTAAAATTGATAAATAAATAAATGTAATTATTTACAATGGCTGTTCACACTTACAACCCGTATCGAGTAAACCGATAAACTAGGTAGAGATTTCGGAAGAAAACCGTAGAGTGGAAGCGGTGATAATTTTACAAGTTCGTACACGCGTGTCGATAAAATATGATAGAAGATAAGGTAGGGATCTGTAATTAGCGCCTGACGGTATACACGCTGCAGAAGTGTACGGCTGGTTGCACGATTTCCGGAGGATTTTAATTCGACCCTTTCGCCAGTAGATGGTTATAGCGTCTCCGAGTCCACGAAGCGAGAGAAACCCGGCGCATCCTTAGACGCGACGAATTCAAAACACTAATGCGCGTTGTCGCAACTGATCCAAGTGGAAAAATTCGATAATAAGGAATCGTAGATGTTTCTAAATTATCGAAAATATTTATTTATTCAATAAAAACTGTAAAAACCGTAGAACTTGAAACCCTTTTTCCATCCATCGTAAAATCTTCGCCAGGATAAAACGCACTTTTCCATCGGCGCTTTTCACCTCGTCGTCGGTACCAGACAAGGTCGCGTTGTCGAAGGTTACCAGAGAAGGTCGTCGACCCGTCAATGTCACCGATCTCATGGGGAACCATAACCCGGACTATAAACTTCTAACACGTCCATCCATCCGAGAGAACGTTAACGGTCTCGTCGTCGTCGTGTCAGATAGAAAAAGAGAGAGAGAGCGGAACGAGGAGGGAGAGGGATGTGCGATAATTGACGAAAATACACCGGGCGAACGTCCATCCATCCGAGAGAACGTTAACGGTCTCGTCGTCGTCGTGTCAGATAGAAAGAGAGAGAGAGAGAGCGGAACGAGGAGGGAGAGGGATGTGCGATAATTGACGAAAATACACCGGGCGAATCAACGAGGCTGTTACGCCGATAGGATATAAAAGAGAGAAGAAAAAAAGAGGCGAATTTACGACGCGGAAGATTTGTATCGGTCCGCGAGCGTCTTCGATTTTTCTGGCCGAGGCGGTGGCAAAAGACGTAACAGTTACTTCGAAAATTCCACCGGGGAAAGAGAGCCGGATAGTGTGTTTCGTTCACGGTGCAGACGAGAGAGCGAGCTTAATTAAAACTCATGTAAATCGAGTAGCCGTGCCGCGCTACGCCAATTAACTTTACATCGCGATGGCGAACGAACCGCGGACAGAAGAGGAGAAGAAGAAAGAGCGGACCAGCGCCGCGGCCAATGGGTACAGCAAAAAAGGGAGGAAAAAAAAAAGGAGAAGAAAGACGAAAAGACCGAGGACGTAACAAATTGGTCCACGAAGCAAGACGCGTCGACGTAACAAGACGACGAGGAGGACGATGGTTCGATTTTAACACGAATCGTCCGATTCGTTCGTTTTCTCCACGTCTCTCATTTTTCACCGCTGTAACGTCGCGGGGAGAGAAAGAAGGGTTTCCGGTGTTTGCAAAGGACTCCGTCGGCGGAGAGAAGGAAGGACAAGGGAAAGTTTCGAGGAGTATCTTGGTTTTAACGAGAAGGAATTAATTAGACGACGAGGGCACGTTACAGGAGATTTCGGTGTCTAATTAAAACCGTCTGGTTCGAGGGGGAAGAGAAAATGGAAAATTTAATAAACCCCTGGCTCGAAAAGCTGCAGCTTGGACAATGTTGCTCGGGGGGGCTCCTTTTTTTTTTCCTCCAGGTGCTCCGGAGAAAAAGTGACACAGTTCCCTTTGTCCTCTGGAACTGTGCTCTGTCCGGAATACAGAGGCACGGTATCTAATCTATTCCGTATTCAGGTTCAATCTTTCCTTTCTCAAAATTCTACTTAACGCTTCATCAGCAAATTAATAAATTTTCACGTTCGTCGATTAGTTACGAATGACTGTACACCAAAAATGAAGGGCGCAGGATAATTCGTACTTCGTTTAATTAAATTTCCGGCGTACAGAAGAAACGTTTGATTCGATCGAGGTGAAATGATTTTTCCGAATCGATTAGAAGAGCGAAAGAGAGGAGGAAGGTTACGAATTGGATCGAGAAGGAAAATCACGGACTTCCGGTGCGCAGGAACACGTGCTGGAGGCTCGCGGTGAGCCGAGGTGAAGCGAGGTCGATGGAAAGTGGCATAATCGCGGATGTGGATCGGCCGAAGGAGAGCAGAAGAGGAGATCCTTTACCTTACTTATGTAACGAGCGGTCGCCGTGTGTCTCGTGTCTTCGACCGCGTCTCCGACGCACACACACACCCTTCCATCCCCTCCAACGTTTACCCTTTCCACTGGTTCGGCGTCCCTGAGCCGTCGCGGTGCTCCTGTGACCGGTGTCCCTGAAAATCCCCTCGGTCTTATTGGGTCGGCGTTCCTACCCACCCCCTTTCTCATTTAGATACCTTTTTTCCAATCTACACGACTGCGGAACGTGAAACAGTAGTTTCCAGGAATTGCAGTGTATTTAATTCGTTCTTTAGGATAAATTTAGGAATTTTCGGCAGTGACCAACGAAGTACGGACCTTTAATAGACAATGGAGCTCGAACAAATTTCTATGTTTGCTACTTAATTTCGGCTCGGAAATAATTAGGAAAGTCAACTATATCTCAGAGATCGAAATTTGTCTTGTGGAAAATGATCGACTAGTGCTACTGTTCGAATTAAGTAGTAAACTCAACCATTTCTCAGACGATCGAATTTTGTCGAAATCGGTAAGTAGTGCAAGTCAACCATTATTTCTCACAGGCTTGAAATTTTTCGGAATTGGGCAAGCAGTGCAAGTCGATCACTTCTTAGACACGAGCAAATTCTCAAAGTCCGAGATTCGAAGCGGAAAAGCAGCTTATTTATTAATTTATCAACGGTTCGATTTATTAAAGTTTCTGTTTCATCTGCAAGTACCTTGACTGAAGAATAATTAATGTTTCTTGTTGAATAACAATTTAGATTTTTGTTTAAATTAGAAACGGAGGGTTTCGGGCCACCACAGGAATCAAGGAAAGGCTTCGATATCAGGAAAAATGAACGAATGCAGTTACTTATAACCAGTATTGTTTTACAGCACTTTACAGTCCCTTTATTTCTCACTTACACACCACATCCATTCATTCCCTTTTGCGAAACACTCGATGTTTCAATAATGTTCCATTAAAAAATTAAGCAAACTAAATCCGAATAACGTTAGGAACTAATTTGCAAATGTTAAAACAATTTCTAATCTATTTCGTGCAATTGTTAATTCAATGCTAAATCAATAAATTAAGCTGTTCTGTTAAGTCAAATCGTGCGACAAATTTATTTAACACTTCGAATAATCCTAAACTACCATCTAAATAGTTAATTGACCAGAAACGCTAATTATTCTACAATTAAATTACTTGAAAATAAACGAGAATACATTATTAAAATCTACATAATTAGAATAGTTCGCGAGATAAGGGCGCAGACTGATTAGAAAGAGAGACTCTGAATATATATTTCTCGAAGTTACTCTCCCTTTACTTTGTTCCAAACAAAAAGCTACCGACTACTTCTAAATTCTTCCTCCTCCACTGTCTGCTAAAGTCGTCCAAATAATCTCTGTACATCGTTCAAAATAAGAGTAACCTCGCTTCGCGCATGGGACGTGCCTAAGGCAGGGCTAGAAACTTTCTTAGTTCTGATTTGCAACGAATGAAATTTTTACCAACATATTTGTCACATGTTTCTGATTGAAATGATACTAAACACGATATAATTTGGAGCATATTTGCTTACTTAATAAATGATAATAAGGAAATACGTAAATATAATCCAAATTTTTCGCGAGTCGCGCGCGCGACACAAAGTTGCAAAAAGAGAGATCGCGCTTGCAACTTTGTTGCCGGAAATCGTTCTCGAAAAATGCACAATGTTGCAAAACGGCGCGTCGTGCAACAATGTGCATTTTTCCTGGAGTCGTTCTCGAAAAATGCACAATGTTGCAAAACGGCGCGTCGTGCAACAATGTGCATTTTTCGATGGCGGTTCGCGGCAACAAAGTTGCAAACCCGATAACGCGTTTTGCAACAATGTGCATTCGAAAATAATACGAATTAACGATGTTACAAGCAAGAATGACGCTGGTAACAATGTTACATTCAAGCGTAGTGCTTGTAATTACGTTTGCGTTCGAAGTAACGCTTCTAATAATGTTGCAACCAGAAGTAGAGATTCCAACAATGTTTGCGTTCAATGTTGCATTGAAAAGTAACGCGTACAGCAATGTTTTGCATTCGAAATATTGCTTCCATCGATGTTGCATTCGGGAATAGAGACTGCAACAATGTGTGCATTCCAGTTTCAAAGATGAACAGTGAAACAAAAGTATCTTGATGCTTAAAAATCACGGTTCAACGATGTAAAAGTTCTTTTCCTGCTACTGCAACCATGTTCCGCACCTCGATCAATTTTCAACCTTCAACTCACACGGCAACAAAAGCTCCGCGCAAACAAAACGTCATTATACATTTTCAACATATTTCTCCACCCCTATAAACAACCCCTCTACGTAGTTTCCTGTTCCCGTATCAACGTGCTACATTATCGACAGCTGGTTGAAAATCATTTGTCTAAACCGTTTACCTACACCGCAACTTCCCCTCGAGCGGCGGCAGTGTAACACCGCAAAATAGCGGGG